GACAAAGAGTAAAGAATGTTTTCAGAAATATAAATAATGATTGTTTATTTTTGTCAATTTTCAAAATGCAAAGTGAGCAAACAAAAGAAAAATCTAAATCAAATCAATATTTGGTGTGACCCCCTTTTGCCTTCAAAACAGCGGCAAATCTTCTAGGTCCACTTGCAGAGAGCTTTTGAAGGAACCCGGCTGGTAGGTTGTTCCAAACATCTTGGAGAACCACAGATGATCTGTAGATGTAGATGCTTTCTCACCTCCTTCTGTCTCTTCATGTCATCCCAGACACACTCGGTGATGTTGAGATCGGAGCTCTGGGGGGGGGGGGCATGCCATCACTTCCAGTACTTCTTGTTCGCTGAAGATAGTCCTTAATGACTTTGGCTGTATGCTTGGGGTCCTTGTCCTGCTGCAGAATAAATTTGGGGCCAATCATACGCCTCCATGATGGAATTGCATGATGGATAAGTATCTGCCTGTATTTCTCAGCATTGAGAACACCATTAATCCTGACCAAATCTCCATTTGCAGAAATGTATCCCCAAACGTTCAAGGAACCTCCACCACGCTTCACTGTTGCCTGCAAACACATTATTATACCGCTCTCCAGCGCTTCGACGAACAAACTGCCTTCGACTACAGCCAATTATTTCAAATTGTGACTCATCGGTCCAGAGCACCTGCTGCCATTTTTCTGCCCCCCCAGTTCCTATCTTTTCGTGCATACTTTAGTCGCTTGGCCTTGTTCCCACATCGGAGGTATGGCTTTTTGGCTGCAACTCTTCCATGAAGACCACTTCTTGCCAGACCTCTCTGGACAGTAGATGGGTGTACCTGGGTCCCACTGGTTTCTACCAGTTCTGAGCTGTTGGCACTGCTGGACATCTTCCAGTTTTGAATAAGCTTGATGTGTCTTTCATTTGCTGCACTAAGTTTCCTTGGCCGACCACTGCCTCTACGATCCTCAACGTTGCCAGTTTCTTTGTGCTTCTTCAAAAGAGCTTGAACAGCACATCTTGAAACCCGAGTCTGCTTTGAAATCTCTGTCTGGGAGAGACCCTGTTCACGCAGTATAACTACCTTGTTTCTTATTGCTGTGCTCAATCTTGCCATGGCATGAAACTGTCTTTCACAACCTCACCTTGGTAGCAAGAGTTTGGCTGCTCCTCACCCAGTTTCAAGCTTCCCACACAGCTGTTTCTGTTTCAGTTCATGACTGGGTTTCAACCTACGTGTGACACCGATGATCATTATCACCTGTTAGGTATAACTGGTTGATCATACACCTGACTATAATCCTGCAAAATCCCTGACTTTGTGCAAGTGGACCTATGAGAATTGATGCTGGTTTGAAGGCAAAGGGTGGTTACACCAAATGTTGATTTGATTTAGATTTTTCTTTTGTTCACTCCCTTTTCTTTTTGCGTAGATTTCTCCATCTTTGGCTAGTGCTGCTTAAAGAGGAATCTGCATATAGTAGAAAGACAGCCACAAAGAGCAGCTCCGTTTCAGAGCAACACAAATCCACCCGACACCAAGGTGCTGCTGCTGCTGCTGCCTTTTGCTGTTCTGCTGGATACGGCAGTGTCTGTCCTAAGGCAGGGAGCAAACGGCTCCTCTTTCATGGGGTCCCTCCCAGGAGAGGGAAAGATATTTTTCTCTTTTTAATTTTTGCTATCTCGCCCCCAAAATACCTCCCCCCCCCCCGCATACACATGAGTAGCCAGCCATGAGAAACCATGGCTGCAATGGAATCGTTTGAAATGGACCCAGCAGCCAGGCGGAGAGGCTTCTTTGAGGGACACTCCTAGACTCCAGCAAAGAACCTGCCACTTCTCCTCAAGCCACCCCCACCCCCTCCCCCTTGACACGAGCTCCCATTATTCTGCAACAACCTCGCAAAGGAATGAGCCCCTCCCACTTTCTGCCACTGAAGTCGGAATGCAACATCCACAGGAAATTGAAAAGGGCTCCACCGCCCTGCATCCCATCTTCCCCCCCTTTTCACTTCCCTGTGCTTATCCATGTGTGTCTGCGATGATTTGTGTCCTGGTCCAGTTTACAGGAAGGGAGTCCAGGGTCGCTTGGGCTGAATGCTGGTCTTGGTCATTTGGCCACCTCTTTGGAGAGCTCCACTCTGCAGACCGGCAGCTGTTTCTGGCCGTGCTCTGGCCCGTTCCTTCTCCAAAACCAGCACCCAGGAGCCCTGGGAGATCATTGGGCCCAGAGAGAAGCCATGCTTGCTTTTTGGCAAGCAAGCAGATCCCATCACCCAAATCCTGGATTCCTCGTGCCTTTGCCAAGAGGCCCCGTCCCATTGTCCTGTTCTGTCCAGCATGGGGGGGGGGGCGTCCTTCCCTTGGGCAGAGAGAGAGACTCTGGCACAGCAGAGACAAGAAGAGCTTTGGCTCATTTTTTTTTAATGTACCACAATGAGCAGGAAACATACTTGATGAAATATTTTCAAAGGAGTATATTCAATACCATCTACAATCAACTTAACTATGACAACAAAGTGTTTTGTGACAAAATTTGTTTGGTTTCTTTTTTAGAGTTCTGTGTGGTTCTGCTTTTGTCCATCTCTATGTATTTTGGTACAATTTGAGATCAGCATTATTACAGTAACAAAAAAGCTAACAAGACGACATTATAGAAAAACACCAAGAACGTCATTTTTGGTTTCACTTGCTCTAGTTTTTGTACATTGCAAAGGCTGTTTAGAGACTTCACCTCATTTATACTTTCTGTTTTATCCAGTCTTGTCCCCCTCCCCCCAACCAAAGGAATGAAAAAATAGTAAAAAGTTATGTGTTTCACAGTGGGCAGGATTTTCAGAGCCATCCACCCGTCTAGACAGCCGACCAACCAGAAAGGATTCCACTTCCTCGTGTGCCCAAGGCCTAAGGGCCAGGCCCAGCTGGGCACCACCTTGGAGCCAGCCACGTCCGTCTGCATTGCTAACATTCTTGGGCAGGACTATTCCTGGCCTCCCCCTGGTTCCTCCCGTCAAACAGAAGGGCTCAGAGGCGGAAAGACCCCCGGCCTCAAGCGCTGGCACAGCCCTCTTCGGAGGCCGGGATCGCCATAGCTGCTTGCTCCTCCCCAGAGGGCCCCAGAGGGTGAGGTGCAATCTCGGTTGGGCCTTAGCTTGGCTCAAGGCAGGAGCCTGCTCGATGCTTGCCACTGCCCTACCAGGGAGGACCCTGCTGCCAATGTCCTCCCCGGCAGCTCTGCAGCGTCAGCTCTGCTGAGTGTGGAGGCCTGCAGGCAGAAGACTGGGAAGGACGTGGGGATGCCCCAGGCAGATGGAGGAAAGGCAGAACGGGAGAAGAGGGCAGAGGGAGGGAACCAGGGCAGAAGATAGAAAGGGGGCCAAAGAGGTCAACGCAAGCAGACCACAAAACTGGCCAGGAAAGGCTAGTGTTAAACTAACAAGGTATATACCACATAAAGAACCAAAGATAAAATGAATAGTCTCAGGATACTAAGTCATGTTCAACAGCAACACACTCTCTCAAACCATGAGAACCCACCCGCACCACTTTGGATCTAAAGAGGGGGCTGTTCGGGGCAGTCCCGGCGGCCACTGGGGCCCAGGGCAACTCAGGGCAAGGGGTTTCCGGTCAGGGAAGGGTGGTGGATCCCCCATCAAGTGATCAGCAGCTAAGAGAGGGGCAGCAGTGGGGAGGCTGCCTTTCCCAGAGCCCCCTTCCGTCAGTCAGGGGGAGGGTCTGGAGCTGGGAAGTGAAAGGGGTGCAGGCTCTATTGGCAGAGCACTTGGGGGTGGGGGGCGGGGTATGGCACGCAGGGATGGTGGCACTGGGCTCAAAACACCTGGCCGCAAACTCAGCCTGGCAGCCGAATCCCTTTCCCTTTGCAGGAGACGGCCATAGAAGGACATCTGGGCTATGGCTCTCCAGGCTCGCCCTCCTCGTTTCTGAGCACGGCACGCCGTCAGAACCCCCCAAGTGTCTGTCGAGGCTCAGGGCGGGAGAAGCACCGAGGCTCCTTCATTCATGGGCGCCCAAGGGAGCCTTGTGGCCAAAAGAGAAACGAATCCTCGAAAGACGCCTCTTTTGCTCCTTCTGCACCAGCGGCCGAAAGGGTTTGTCTTTGGGTTTCATTTAAAGCATAAACTTCTTCTGGAGGAAAGAAACAAAAGGCCCGCCCACTCGCCCCATCTCGGAAAGTCCTTCAAAAGGAACGTGGGGGCCCCAAGGGCAGAAAGAGAAAGGAAGGCCGACATTTCCAAAATGGAGCCTTTACACAGGGAGGGAAGGAAGCCGAAAGGAGAGGGAGAGAGTTAAGTGCACAATCGACAGGGATACACCTTAGAAACTTTTGAGCTCCCAAGAAAAATATTTCAGAAGGGATTCCCCTTTTTTCCTTTATAAAATAACTTTGCAGCCGCCCTCTGAGGAACGAAGGCAGCGACTGATAAGTGGAAGCTTAGGACAGGATGGCCTGGGGAACGGAGGGATGGACGCAAAAGCTGCGGCGAGTCAGACTGGGCTCCATCCGGTCAGGACAGGAATGGACAAGACAACATCGAATGAGAAGCCGCCAGCCGGACCATCTACAAAAGCTAAACATACACAAAAGGGTGGGGGGTGTCTTTAAATCTACCATACTGCTTCAGTTCATTTCCAATGGAACAATCTACTCAACACCAAAAATGGTCATATCTATCATAAATACAGAAAGTCAGTTGTTTAGAACTCCAAGTCCTTAACGCTCTGCGTGTTTTCTTTTCTGAAAAGGGGGAGGGGGGCTGAATGGTCCCCCTTGAAATTGGCTTCAGCAGAAAAGATGCCCCTAAAATCCCCAGAAAGCTAACTTACTGTAGTTCACATTGTTTCTCTTGAATACTTTCTGCCCATTTTTAAATTAACAACAAAAAATCCTTTCCTTGGAAAAAATCAAAACCAAAAAAAGAAAAGAAATTATATATATATATTTATATAAAACAATGATTCTGAAAACCGAACAAAGTGTGAGCAATTGACCTGAGAATAAAAACGTTACATTTCTTTTTTCCTTTTAGCAAGCAAGCCATTGGTATCTGAAGGCTAAGATAGCAAGAAGTTTAAAATGGTCCCGGGCGATCTGCTTTCCCACACAGTTATGCTGGCCTCCACTGCGCTCTCAAGGGGGCTGTGCGGGTGGGGGGGCTGATTCCTTTGGGGGGGGGTGACAGCCACCTTTGAGAGAGCCGCAGCAAACCTTTCGGCCGCCCAGAAGCAAGCCGAGCTGCCAGCATCGGCCTCTGGGAAAACCACCCAGGCGTTTTCTCCCTCGGTTCGTTTTTCTTTTTTGGTTAGAAGCTTTGGGATTGCAGTTAGTCTATTTCTGAAACCGGTTTGTTATTTCTAGATTCATTTTGCAAGAGTCTGTCTTCAAAGCTTACAATCGGAAAGGGTCCACGCTGGGGAGGCCGCCGTCCCGAGGGGAGCTGGGCTCTAGCGGGGCCCCGGCCTCCGGCCCGCGGCCCGAGTCAGACTCCTCCGAAGAGAATTTCCTTGGCATCAGAGAGGGCTGAACCCCTGAGGTGCTGCATGAGCTTGAGGTAACCGTTGAAGATGAGGAGAGAGGCGGGGGCTTCCCTGGAGGGGAGGCTGCCGGAGGCCAGGGCTTTTTGGAGGAGTGGGGGGCAGCGGCAGGCAGGGGGCCGTTCTTGGGGTGAGCGGTGGGCTGCGAGGTAGATGCGGTGCTCGGGTCAGGGAGGCAGGCAGAGTGAGGTAATTGACTGGGGGGCTCTTTGGCGTTTCTGGCTGCTGCTCGGGGGACTGTCTGGTGCTGTCTGTGGGGGGCAGACTCCAGATGCTGCTGGAGGGCCTCTTCCCCACACACCGTGCTCTCACACGCCACGCACTGGTAGGAGCCGCCCCCGCCAGCGAGCACCTGAAGCGCCATCTCGGGCAGAGTCCCCATCGACTGGCCAAAGCAGCAGAGGGATTTCAGGTGGACGTCGGCCGCCTCTTGGCTCCCGAATCCGGCCTGGCATTTCCGGCACACCAGTCTGTACTGCACCGGAGGGACAATGAAGGGGTCCCAGAGGGAGTCCGGGGCGCTGCTGCTGCTGCTGCTGCTTCCTGCGGTGGCGAGCTCTCTTCGGGGGGATCCCTGGCGGGAGCTGCTCTTCTCTTCTGGCCTGGGGGATTCTTTGGCAGGGCCTTTTTCAGGGGAGAGGCCCTCCGTGGGGACGGGGGGCTGGCTGCCTTTGGGCAAGGGCAGCTGCACTTGCCGTTGCAGCGCCTCCTGGAGGCTCTGTTGATATTGCTGGTAGTGCTGCAGCAGGGAGCCCGGGGAAACGCCAAGCAGGGCCTGCGACAGGGCCGGGCCGTAGGGGAAGACCCCTTCCATGCTGTACATGGGCTGGAGGTATCCACTCTGCAAGGCCCCCGGGAGCTGAGGGGCGTAGTACGGAGAGAAGCCGGGCACAAAACACGGGAGGAAGGGATTGGTCAGCAAGGCCAGGGACTCCGTGTTGAGAGCCGCCTGCAGGGCCTGCAGCTGGGTAGGCTCTGCCGAGTACTCCAGCGCAGGCCCCATGGCGGGGAAAGCCGGGCCAGGGTTGGGCGCCTCCCCTTTGTCCTTCTTGGGCCCCGACAGGGCCTCCCCCCGGGTCTTGGAGGGGCGCTCCTTCTCCTTCGCCTTCTCGCTCTCCTTGTCCTTCCGCAGTGGGAGGGGGGTTGTGGAGCCCACGGAGGTTTGTGCTGGCGGGGGGGAACTGAGGGGGGCCGTCTTATTTGGGGATCCCGAGGTGGGAAGCCCGGGCGAGGGAACGCTTGTGCCTGGCAGACCCATCAGGGCGGGTTTGGGAGACGTTAAAGCTGGAACAAAGCAGAGAGACGGGTTCAGGGACAGGGAGAGAAAAAGCAGGATTTAGGCCTAAATGGTCAGCATGGCCCTGGTGAAGGAACCCCCCCCCCCGCCCCCCCATAGTAACTTTCAAACACGGAATGTTTAATCTATTAATGTTCACATACATATGTATCTCATTCACTTTCTTTTTTCCTGCTGTGTTTTTCTTTTTCTAATTCTGTCATTTTAAAGTTGTCCTGCTGTTTGGTTTATTCACTAAGCAGACATTTAAAGGGAAATCCTCCGCTCCTATTGCCCCGTCATCTCCGAGAGGGACCCAAAGGGGCCCCACCAGACCCATCCGGGAGCAGCCCCCTCTAGGGCACCCAGAACGGCAGGATCCCACTTGCAGGACAGTCTGAAAAGCTCAAAGGTTCCCGCTGAGATCAGGAAGGTGAGCCTAAGAAACCAGAAGTGGACGTGATTCAACAGGGTCAGGAGATGCACGGAGGGGCCACACCTCAGGCAGGGCATTGTTTTTTCTCAGAAAACAGACACTCAACGCCATAAAGCTCTTGCAGAAATCCACGTGGCTGCTATGGAGCAACGGGAGGGCTGGCAACGGAGCTTCCCCCATGCCGGCCTAAAGAGATGATAAGAAGCAAGGCCACCAGTAACCTCCCCATCCCACCTGCCTCCAGAGGCAGAGGGCTGATCCTTCTCCTCCGTCCTCGGGCTCCCTTCCCCTCCTAGGCTGCAAGAGGCTCTCAAGACGAGACCCCTCCCCACCCCCCCACCTGAAAAGGAAGTGCCTCTAGCAGAGACTCCTCCTGCCTCCGCAGGGGCTTCATCCACGTTCTCCCCTCCTCCCATTTTGGACGGCCAAACTGGGAAGTTCGCGAGACAGGTGCAACTCACCTGTATTGGAAGGAGTGAAGCCAGGCAGGGATGGGCTGTTCAAACCTGGTAACAGGACCGGAGGGATGCTCTGAAGGGCCGCTGGGTAGCTGGCAGGAATGTTCAAAGCCTGCAAGGGGGGACTGTCAAACATGCCTTGTTGCTGAGCCGCCAGGCCAAGGGCTTCATTGGCCTTCTTGAGTCGGTCCAGCTCTTGCTGCGCCATCAGCTGGCGGACAGTGGCCGGGTCAAAATACTCCTTCTCTTTGTCCAGCTGACTCCCAACCGTCTCTTTCACTTTGGAGATGTGCTGCTCAGAGAAGATGTGGTCCCGGACAGATAGGCGGGCACCGTACTTGATGCCACACAAGGTGCACTCGGTTTTTGGCCCCTCGTAGCCACTTTGATTAATGCCAAAATGCTTGGCCATGTTGAGCTTGGCTTTCTTTTCTTTGGCTCGGGCGTTCTGGAACCAGACCTGGATAACTCTCTTGGGGAGCCCAATGTCATTGCCCAGAACCTCACACTCCAGCATGGTGGGGGTCCTGTAGTCGCTGAAGCAGGCCTTCAGGACTTTCAGCTGGAGGTTGGTCATCTGGGTCCGGAAGCGCTTCTGTCCTGGCCGATCCCCGCCGTCCCCGGATTTGCCTGCCGAGCCGCTGGTGCCCGGGCTAGGAGAGCAGGGGTCTGCCAGGCTTGAGGTCTCGCTGTAATCCACGGTGCCTTCGTTGTCGTACTCCTTGCTGTGGAAGCTGGGAGCTGGGCTCACCAGGCCCGAGGAGAGTCTGTCTTCGTACTCTGACATGGCTAACATGGCCGCCTTGGTCAGACCCTCGCTTGGCCCCAAGCTCCCCCTGGCTTCTGTGAAGACCCCTGTAGCGCTGTCGTTGTCTGCATTGGTCTCGTCCCCCGTCGTCGTGTCTGTGAGGGCTGTGTTGACGGAAGAGCAGTCGTCGTTGTCCAGCTTGGCTTGGTCAAAGCTCAGGTGGACCGAGGACACCGAGGGACTCTCCAAGTCTTCCACGCCTTCCACCTTGATGGAGGACGGGCTCAGCAGGGTCTGCGGAGAGAGCTCTAGAGACTTGCTGCCTGGGGAGAGGGGGATTCCCTGGCTGTCACTGCTACTGCCGGGGGCAGACAGCTGTGCAAAGTTGGCCCCGTCAAAGAGGTCTCCTTTCCCCAGGAGGCCCCCCACTCCTCCTCCTCCTCCTTCACAGTCCAGAAGCATGGCTGACAAGGCCAAGTTGTATCCCGCCCGCTTGGCTTCATGCCAGTGCCGAGATCGGATATGGGCTTCCAGGGCGGTCTTGGCTTTGAAGAGGGCCCGGCAGAAAGGGCACCGCCGGTGGGCTTGAGCAGGCCCCACTGCTCGGAACTGCCCTTTCCTCTCCCGGGCGCGGGTGTTCTGGAACCACACCTGCACCACCCGCTTCTTCAAGCCCACTTCGTGGGCGATGTGGTCGAGCATCTTGCGTGTGGGGTTGGAGTCCAGGAGGTATTTCTGGTACAGCACTTCCAGCTGCTCAGGGGTGATGGTGGTCCGGAGGCGCTTATCCCGCTGGGGCTCCTCTCCCCCAGCGCCGCCATCGTTCCCGACCGGGCTGACCCTGGCTTTCTCCTCCAGCTTCCTCTTCAGGCTGCTCATGGTGGCGGTTGGGGTGGAGGGCGAGGTGGCCGAGCTCATGGGCAGCTGGGAAAGGGTCCCAGAGAGCAGCTGGCTAGCCAGCAGTGGGTTACTGGGGTCGAAGAGCATGAAGGGCAGGTCGAACTGAGGGTGGAGAAACTGGCCCTGAGTGCTCAGGAAATGCAGCTGCTGGTGTTCTTGCCAGTGCTCAAAGGAAGGGAAGGCCAGCTTGCACTGCTTACACTGATACGGAACAAGCTGAGGGGGCAGGCTGGCCAGCTGCTGCGCAATGGGCGTGGCCAGGGGCTTGTGAGGCAGGTGAGACAGCTGGGCGGGGGGAGGGCTTGCCTGGGGCGGGCCCCCCTGCAGAGGGTGGGCCGGCTGCTGCTGGAGGGGCGGGGAGGCCTTTGGGTGCACCGAGCTCAGCTTCAGCTCTTCTTGGTCCTGCGCCGGGACCTGCCCATCTCGCTTTGGTTGCCGCTGCTTGTCTGAAGCCGGGCTTTGTTGCGCGGCGCTTGAAGGCTCCGGGTGCTTTGGTTTCTCATCGGCAGCGTTTGCTTTAGGCTGGCAGGCAGCAGGGCAGTCGCTATCCGCCTCGGTGGTACTCTGTGACGGAAAGGCCGCGCTGGCGGAGGAGGTGGGCGTGCCGTAAGCCTGGGAAGGCATCGGGGTGCTGCAGGAGGAGCTGCTGGGCGTCAGGAGCTCCGTAGCGTCCATGGAGTCTTCGTTCTGACTGTCCTCCTGCCCGTCTTCGTCTTCGTCCTTGTAGCAGAGCTTCTTCTGATGTTTGATCAGGTCGAAGATGCGCTGGAAGACTAAGCTGCACTTCTTGCACTGGTAGTTCAGGTTGCTCGTCCGGATGTATCGGTCGTTGGTCAGCTCCCGTCGCTCCCCTTCTTTGCCTTCCCCCTGATTCTCGTAGTTCTTCCTGGCTTTCTGGCGAGCGTTCTGGAACCACACCACGATCACCCGAGTTGGGAGGTTCAGCAGGTTGGAAAGCTGCTCAAACTCGTCATCCTTCGGGTAAGCGTTGGCGTCAAAGAAGTCCTGCAGCACCCGAAGCTGGTAGTCTGTGAAGCGGGTTCGGGAGGACCTCTTGCTCCCCCAGTACTCGTGCTTCTGAGGCTCCGGAGAAGACGGCCGGGAGTCCACTTTCAGGTCTTCCAGGCTGGTGATGGGAGGGTTGCTGAAGTTGTACGGCGAGTCCTTGTTGCGCTGGCGCTCCTTGAAAAGCGTATTTCGGAACCAGTGTTTGATCACCTTCTGCGGCAGACCAGATTTCTCGGCCATCTCCTTGATCTGCTCCTCACTGGGGGAATTGTTGATGTCAAAATACTGCCTCAAGACCCGGAGCTGCTCGTCGGTGATTCGTGTCCGTGGCCTCTTGTTCTGCTGCTGCTGCTGCTGCTGCTGCTGCTGCTGCTGCTGCTGCAAGAGGCCCTGGTTGAGCTGGTGCTGGTACAGCTGAGCCAGCTCTGCTGGCAAAGAGTCGACGGGGGCAAGCTGGGGCGGCAACTGGGCCGGCAGGGCTTGCAAAGGCATGGTGGNACCTCGCCGAAACGTTGCCAAGACAATGTCAATCTTACACGGGAAAAGACCCGAATACAACAAGACCAGCATACCTACAACCGTGAAAATCTACGAAAACACACACACACACATGTTTGTGTGTGTGTGTGTGTGTGTGTGTGTGTGTGTATGTGTGACTTCTACCTATGTTTTGATTTTACGAAAATTTATACACAGGGATTTCATATTTTGGGTATACACTAGACAGCTCATGACCATCTTTCCTCTCTAGATTCCTAATGCACTGATGGTATTGCCTAGTTTGGTAATGAAATGTCTGCAAGAAAAGAACCAAGTTGAGAGAGGACCCCACAGTCCAAACCTGAACCACATTCTCTTATATTGGTGCCTTCAACAATAACAGTGTGTGTGTTGTGTGTGTGTGTGTGTGTGTGTGTGTGTGTATATATATGTATATATTTCTTATTTTCTATAGAAAATGGTCATATATTTGCACAATATAAAAGAATGAGATTGATTCATTGATTGTCTTACCCTAAGATTCATTGATCAGTGTTTTATTTTAGTTTATTATTATAAACTGCACAATTTATGATCCATTTGTTAATTTTATTATGAGCATTATCTTACAGCTGTATGTGATACAAAAATGTTTTAGATGTTCTAGAACATGCTGAATGGGGATGCCGCAATTTAACAAGGAGCTGCGTTTTTTTCAGGTTTCCATGTGAGTCTGAAAAAAGACACAGTTCATTTAAGTAGTCAATTAATTACAGCAGCCGCATCCTCAATGGTAATACATCTGTTTTCAGGCTCTATTGAAACCTTTAAAAGATGTGTTTGCTTTGCATTCTGAAAATCTCTCTTGAATCATATATACACAGGTTTAATGTATATATTTCCAGTCTCATTTTTATTCTTTAATTTGTTACGCAGTTTCAAATGGCTGTACACTGAAACTCACCAGGTCTGTGTTATAACTGTATTAATATATTTTATTTATTTAGTGTCATTTGCTGATTGCATTTCTATCTCAATTTTGCTGAGATAGTCAAATTCTAAGAAGTCAAATCTGCTTCTGATGTCTTTCTTAATTTAAGAAACATAACAAACATTATCCCCTGTGAGGTAGTTGTGATAAATGGATCATCCAGTGAACTTCATTGGGAAGTGGAGACTCAATCTTGTCCAAGCTCAGCATTTTCACTAATAATTGAAATCACTCCTGACTATTTGCTCATCAGGACAGAAATTTTAAAAACATACATTGTTTCTGAAATATTTTTCAGGCACAAGGTCTCAGTTTGACTTATCCAATTATTTTAGTCAACTCTTTACTTAAGGTTTTACATTAGGCCTTGTATTTATTTTTGGCATTTTTAAACCTAGCACTATTATTGTTTTATCAGATCTCCATATTTACCCCCTTTCCTGCTTATTAATATACTTTTTATATTTAACCCTATTTTATAAAGATCTGCATTCACTTTTTCAATATTAAATAAAAATGAAAAGAAGAACTGATTCAAAGCAGCTGCTATTATCATACTTGTATCACAGCAGCAAAGAGCACCAATGCGCTGACAAAATTCCATAAACACATACGAGTAGCTAGCTCACAAAGGCTGAGCAGTCATGAGTGCAGCCCACAAATCCACCCTGGCCAAGGGAGCACAACTGATGGAGGGGGAGAAACGATGGAGGACTAACACAGCCATCTGGAGCACAGAGACTCTCAGGCAAACATTAGGTTATAAAAGCGATAACAAAAGACTGGTATGCAATAAAAAACATAGACGTACAAACATGATGAATGTGTTCTGGACTTCTCTGCAAGGAGTTCATAATGCAGCATACACAGTGATACATGGAGTGCATCAACAGAGAAAAACAGCCACTGACATGAGCACAGGGGGCAACAGAAGCCTGGAGAACCAATTAGCTTAACATTGAAAGACTGAAGAAGCCTGAAGGTTAGTGACAGTGGGGTGTCGGTGGCTTTGAGGATGCTATAGACATTGGTATTCTGTGTTGTAGAGGAATTCTACACTCCCACAGTCCTAAACAATGAAATTCCATCCATAACATCACCACAAGCAGCTGCAATACTGAACACAACACTGTAGATGACTATTCCAATGCAGAAAAAAATCCCCAACCAATTGGATTTTAAAAGTTGAAGATGAAATCTTTCCAAACTTCCCTATCTCCATTGTCCAAATCTAGAGATTCAGATGTAGTTTTGGGCACAAATACATAATTAAGTAAAATGCAGCAAAACATGGAGATTTTTCTACATCCTTTTTTGTGTGTGCTTTGAAAATAATTCTCAAGTTCCTCATTCTGGCAAGTCTATGAACACTTTCAATTTCTGATTTTCTAAGATAATGCTGCCTATACTGACAATATTATTTCTTCCTGTCCCAATTATTTCTCTTTCCCTACACCTATATCTACATGATTATACATATACTAACTATGATTAAGCAAAAAGATTTCTTAATTTTATTATCCCAGCATTTCCAGAAAGCAATTGTAGGTGCAGATGTAACAAAATAGAAAACAGTCACTATTGCATTGGAAGAGAAAAGGCAACCGAAAAGATGAGGGATTGGAAGAGGAAAAAGGTGACTTTTTAATTCTTGTGTACTTTCATTATAAAACACATGTATGCTTTGTAAAAATATTTACTAATAATGGTTTGTGTGAAACCATCCATAAAATGATACCTGATTCTCAAGAGGATGGTTAACAGAATAAAGCCTCAACAATGACCCTTTCTTTGCCACCAATTTTAGTATTCCATTTTAGTATTCTATGAGTCTGGGCATTTCAATCTTAGGTGTTTGATTACCACTGTGCACTGTGGTGGATTCACCCTATGGACATGAAGAATGCTATGACCTCAAATTAAACCATATATTCTTTGTCTAACAGGCAAATATATCAGCAAATAAAAGGGATACTGTAATGGTATGTGGGAATGACCTTGGGAGACAGGAGGAAGAGCCGCAGACTACACAACAGTCAGACAAGCTGTAGCTGAGCCAAGAAGAAAGGAATGTGGTTATGATAAACCTCTCAGAAGGTACTCTTCCTAGTTTCATGGATTGTAAAGACAAGGGGGAAAAAAGATGTACTTTCAACTTGCAAGACTGATGTCATGATTAAGATATCCCCTGCCAGGTAGCTAATCCTAACCCAACTGGTACTGACATATTTAACCAATCTAGCCACCAGAGGGCCTTTACACTGGCTTGATGTCATCATACAGGAAACTTCCCTACCCAGAAAGAAAATGTCTGTGTGACTCTGGATGCAGAGAAAAACAGCATGTGCTTCTCTAGTGCCTGTATTTTAGAGACATTCACGCTAGCCTCATTTCACCATTTCTGTATAAATATCCAGAGCACACATGACAATTTTATATTATTTTTACAATTTTATGCTGGCCACTTTCTGCTCATAAGAACTTAAAATATGTCAGATGATGACCTGTGCCTCAAACTAGCCTTAATGAGTATTTAATACTTAGTTAAGTGTATGGAGTAGATTTAGTTCGCCTTACATAACTTTATGTCTTTTTTTGTATAAAATATTTTAACGCATCCTTTTTTTGTTTTACAAATATCTATGTATCTATATACATCTTGCTATTTATCTACAGTATGTGTATGTTATGTTTTTTAATTTTGTGTATTTTTTGTTTTAATATTTTTAGCTTTTTAAAAAAATGTTTGTATCCCACCCTCCTTATTCCATTCTATGACCATAATAAAGATTTGATCAATTGTTGCCAGTCTTGCAAGATAGTCCGGACAAGAAACACACTCAAAACATATTTTATAAGTACAGGTAGTCCTTAACTTACAACAGTTCATTTAGTCACCATTTGAAGTTACAATGGCACTGAAAAATGTGATATGGCCAATTTTGCACACTTATGTCCATTGCAGCATCCTTATTGGTCATTTGGATGTTTGACAACTGGTTCATATTTGTGATGGTTGCAGGATCCTGGAGTCATGTGATTCCCCTTTTTTGACCTTCTGACAATTAAGTCAGTGGGGAAACCAGATTCACTTAACAATCGTGTTACCAATTTATCAACTGCAGTAATTCACTTAATAAATGTGGCAAGAAAGGTTGTAAAATGGGACAAAACTCACTTAACAAATTTCTCTCTTATAAATTTTGGGCTCAACTGTGGTTAAAGACGAGGACTAACTGTATTAAAGGACCCAGGTGTCCTCAATTCAAGGATATTTCCTTGACAGATTCCTCAATGCCTTGAACAATGGCAGAGCTTGTAATGTACTAAAAAAGTTCTTCAGAATTCATGGATATATTCAGATATGTATCTGCCTTGAAAGTAAGCCACACTGCACTATATAGCACAGACATCAGCATTTGATCAAAGGAAATGTTTTATAAAATTTTGCATTATGTCATAAAATGCTTTATGATGATTTTATATCATCAAATGTTTTATAAAATTTGCCAAATTTCAATTCCATGGGAGTCATGGGTCCTGGATTTTGGAACCATTCTGCAAGTTAACTCATTTGAGGTATCTTGGCTGGGGAAAAAACTGCCTTAAGATGCACTATTTTGCCCAACTAAAATACAATAAACAAGCATTATATTTTTGTAGTATATAGTACTACTATAGTAACTATATAGATTTCCTTATAGGCAGGCATCGACTTACGACAATTAAAACCAGGGATCTCAGTTGTTAAGCAAAGCAGCCAATAAGTGAGACATGATCTAATCATTTCGCTCAATGACCACAATCCTGGAACTTCTGGTTGCAGTTGCTAACCTATTGTGTAGGTCATTAAGTGAACAGAGTCCCAGGTAAGCACTGTGTGCCTCAAGAGGGAGAGAGACTGTGGGAGGCTCTGCTCAGGACTTGAAAATCCTCCTTGCTGAAATCCAAGCAGGATTGTCAGCCCCTAACAGACATTCATGCACAGCCTGCACTGGGACTCCCAGGGCTCTCCCCTACA